ACAAAATTATACTTCCTTGGTAATTACCGTGTCAAGCTAGTTCTGCAGTATACAGCTTAACAGAAAGCTGCTCTTACACTCTGGTGTTGAAAACAGATTCCTAATAAGGTAAATGTAGGATGAAACAGTCCCAAGATACCGGCATAGGGAGAACACTTTTGCCAAAAAAGCACCTTATCAGCCGTTTTTATAATACAGTGTCTCACCAGATATATTTTTGTGATAAAGTCAGCAACTTCCCAGTAATTATGTGTCAGGGGCCCTGGGACTCAATCCAGGAATCATGGGGCTGAGGCCTAGTCTGCTGTGCTACAATGGACTGTGGGTACATTCATGTCAGAGCTCTTTTTAGGTGTAGAAGGAAATAGACCCCTGAGATTGGCAGGTAGTATAATGTTTCTGGATTGGCCAAGCTTAATATAAATATTAGTATAGTAGTATAAGGACTATAAATATTAGAAATATAAATATTAGGAACCTGGCTGTCTTCCTCTGCCAAGTCGATGGAGCAGAACATAGTCCTTATGAAACTTTCAAGGTCCACCTAGCAGTGTTTCCAGCTGAAGCAACTAATGTTGGGGACTCCGAACTCAAAGGCCTAGATTGATGTATGTCATCTCACAATACGTTTAGGACAGCAGTCTAAGAACTATTCAAGCAGGAAAGCAGCTTGAAGATTTCCATATATGCCTACATACATCTACCTGTCAATTTAGTTTGGGGGATTAGCTTTGATTAATAGTTCCATCATGCCATCAAGTTCAACTGGCTTCAGTGAACATTCAATACCCTAGTTTCTGGAACAGCTTGCCAGAGGAGGTCTGATCTAGTCCCCTCCCCTTCTGTCATTGTGGTGAGTTTGCAAAGCTGTTCTTTTTCTAAGTCTGAGAACCTGGAAACTAAGCTGCTGTTTCTTTGTTGGGATTACGGCTTCAATTATATTATGGCTGGTCTTGATTTTATTTAACTCTTTATCATTTCACTGGAATTTTTAACCTGCTGCTGGCTTAGTCACTTGGAACAATTAGATTTTTTTTAAAAACGTAACTGAGACATGCATAAATGGACATATCCACAAATATCTGCACATTAACCAGCTTCTTGAAAGAATACAGACAACATATCTAGTCACAACTTAGATACAGGGACAAAATGTGAGATCTTTCAATGGGAAGTGTCCACATAATAGATAGATGAGCATCTAAGACAGGATATCCTCCAACCAAGTATCCTTAGCACCTCCTATCTGCCATGAAGCTCACAGGATGATCTTGGGTCAGTCACGCTCTCTCAAATTAATGTGCCTCATGAAGCGTTTCTTTGCTGTGCCTGGTAACCATCAGGAGCCCAGGGGGTGATGTGTGTGTGTGGCAGGGGGTGCCTTCAGCAGCAGCATGACATCACTTTAGGGGGAAGCCTCATGCCATTGGCCCAACTGTCTTCGTTGTTTTTTCTCTGCCAGCATGCCAAGTGGTGGAAAAAGAGAGGATTGCCAGTGGGAGGTCTTCTGCCATAGCAGGAGACCTGGCAACCTGTACCTCACAGAGCTGCCGTATGGATAAAATAGAAAAGGAAGAATCATACATGCCATCTGAAATCCCTGAAGAAAGGCTGGAATAAAATGTGATCAGCAGCTGCCCAATCTTCCTGCAAAATCATCAAAGGCAGATGATTCCAGGCCTTCCCAATACTGTCCCTCACATTTAAATCTGTCATCATGGAAGACACATCTGGGAAGCTACTATAAATAAATAAATAAATATGTACATAATTTATTTCAAGCATTCAAATAATTTCACACAGATTACCTCAGTAATCCTTGAAACAGCCTTCTAAATTAGGTTTTTTATCCTCATATTGCCACACAGGAAATTTTCCAATTAATGGAAGGTTTGAACTAGGAATTTCCCAGGCACATCTAACACTCTGTCCACATTGCCATTTGTAGGCTCATGCTCATGTCTCCCACCCACTCCGATCAGCTACCACAGGGATGGGCTCATGGCACCTGTGCACTCCAGGGTTCTAGTGATTTACTGACCAACTGCCTCCCTTTCCTGATGCCTTTTTCATAATGTGTTTGAGTGGGGCTTAGTGTGGTCACAGAGAACAAACGTCCAATGTTCAAAGTAATAAGAAATTTATTTAAAAGAAAATTTCACAAACCTGCTCTGCACAGCAATGGATCAAGCAAGGATACACAGCAAAGGTGCATACATGTCCCTCCTCTAGACATACCCTGCCTGTTATTCTAGGATAGGCTATTTATTCTTACAGCATTTTTCAGTCATCCATTAACTTGAGCCTTTGCCCAGGCTGCCTGCCCTTTGTTAGCACCATGTGCTAATGGCAGCCATCGAGCCCCAGTCCTTTCGACAAGTTATCCCCAGATGGAATCAGATAAAAATAGACCTCTTCCCTTCATATCAAGACTCTACCTCCTCAGTTTGCCCCCTCCCTCACATCAGTCCTTTTCTTCCTGTTTATTCCCAGGAAGTGATACAATCTAGGTTTTGGCACCCCCATGTCTCTGTCCCCTCCTGCATTTCACACTGCTGACAAGGTGTGAGATGGCCCTTAGATCGTTCTCTGCTGGTGAGAAGCATTTGTATAGCTGGGATGGGGGAAGTGTGACAGCAATTACTCTCTCCTGTTTTCTGTCCTTTTTCCAAAAGAGAAACTTATTGGACTGAAAGTGGGGATTTTGCAGTCCCAAAACTCCATATAGTGTGATGTAGCCCCAAAGGGGAGGGCATTTCTCTACAATGCCCATGACACTTGTGTTTCAACAGCAATCAAAATAGTGAAGAATGCACTATAGAGAAAGGAAAACACCTTGTTTTCAACAGCTTGTCATACTAATTGCTGCACCTGGAGTGGCACACAATGATCATCATAAGGTATACAAAGCCACAAGGTTAAGGAAGTTAGATACAGTACTCTGATAGCTAGAGGATTTTAAATGTGGGGAAGTGTAGGCCAACATGCTATGGCACTACAGTGAACACTGCAGTGGAGTTTACAGCAAAAATACTTATTAAAATAGAGAGATGCTGAAGGAAGGTAGCATAAAACACGCACAGAACCACTGCAAAGGGTTCCCATTCCACTGCTTGCTACAGAAGGCCTGCGTTCGCTGAAGACAGCCAACAGGGCATTGGCCGTCTCTTCTTCCCAATGGTTTACAATTGAGGGTTGTATTGGCTTTTTCTTCACAAATCAATTTGAGCATTTTTCTCTCTTTTGTCACACACTGTCCACATCTTCCTTCCACGCATCATTTCTGCTGTTAAACTGTTTTCTGCAGCATGCAGATCACAAACCTGTACATCCCCTTCACTTGTATTTACCAATGTTCATACTTAAAAAAACACCAAGAAGTTACTCTAAAAAAGCCTTATTCTAGAAAGTTGTCAGCATCATTTCTGAAATTATGTCGCTGTTCGTTTCACTCCTAGTGAGAAAGCATAGCAAATACAAGGCCAGAAGTGTTACACTATCCTCCATCTAACATTATTGAAATCTATTTATTTGCTGGCTTTCTTTATTTGGCTTTCTTTATTCTTTCCCACCCTACTCAAAGGACTCATCGCTGAAAAAGTTGTAGTCTGGGTTTTGCCAATACAAAACATCTAAGGGCGTTGTTTGAAAAGGCCATTTCCAGTACTTAAATGCCAAACACAAAACATTATTTCCTCAAACATCTCAAATTTACACAAATTATAAAACACCATCTCAATGGCATCTTCCTCACTTTCCCCACAACTCTTCACCTTCCTGACCCCACCAATGAATTAAATTGTTCTTAAAATGATATAAAGTAATCCTCCAGCCATGCAAGCTACTCAAATAAGATATTCAAAAAAGTTTTTTTTAAAAAGATTGGAAATGTTGTCTCATTTATTTCAGCATATGTGAAACTAAACTTTTGGGATTCTTCCAGGAGGGTAACTTAAAATGGAAAATATGTATCAGGTTTCTTTTTATGTCACTGGAGCAAAGCCGGGTAGTGGCTGAAATTTACTAGCATCTGACAGCAGTCTGGTGGTTTATATAAAATTATTTTGTGGTCTCAGTCAAGTGCCAAGTGGCAAGTGACTTCAGCTCCCAAAACCACTAGTACAGTTTAAGTGCCTGAGAAGGTAGTTTGAAGCACGCTTTGGAAGCGGAACTTGGTTTATAGAACTGCCCTAAAACAAAAGATTTTGAAAAGAACCACAGATAATAATTTATGAGCTGAACTACAGGCTAGGCTAGCAGGATTTTGCAGTGTACCCCCCCCCCACACACACAAACAAACAAAATCGGGGAGGGGGTTAAATGCTGCAACTAGCTAACATTCACTCTAGGCCCAGTGTAAACAAGAAAGATTATGGTGTTTCGTAAGAAAGAAAAAGAAATGTAAAAATAGTCACTGGATCATATGGAACACACACGCAAGTTGCTTGTAAATACCTTTGATATAATTCATCATTTAATCACCTAATACCATTTAGAGGCCTGGGAATTCTAAATCAACTACTACAAGAATGTTAGTTACACTCTCAGCAGCACTGACTTAACAGTGTAGTTCACTGCATGGGAGGTAATGCTGTTCTGCTGCAGGTGGACAGCTGAAAATGCAGATCAAACCAGTACATCTTTGATCAGTAACCATGAAAGTTAGGAAGAAGTGGTGTCTTATTAGACAGTGCCAAGCTGTGCCTGTGCCAAGCTGTTCCTGTGCCTGTCAGACTGTAAGTCATACATGGCTTCTGCTAGATACTATGACATATTGATATGCTCTACTGATGTTCAAAGTCTCCAGTCATCAACCTCAAACAGGTTTTCCTTGAACTGTTACAGTAAAATCTTCTTGGCTTCATCTTAGTGTTCAGGGTTAGCCTTTCTTGATCTTTCTCACCATTCTTTCCAGTCTTTTAATCGCTGCTGAATTTGCATCCAATTTTATCCTCATAACATCATCATCCCCTTGCAAGTTGTCCATAAGAGGAACTTACCTTTAAGGACTCCCAAAGAGGAAACTGTACTACAGAGAAAGGAATCTGGAATCAAAGAGAGAAGAGAGGGGGAGAAAATCTGTCACAGAAGCAAACGATGTTGGCATGTTAGTTAGCTTACTAAATTAGGAAAAGTTACGGTTCACCCGGCGAATTGGTGCTTACTAAATTTATAAATCCTGGAGGACTCAATTATATGCACGCTGTTAGGTGGCTGGTTTTGCTAAAGGAGCTCTGACTTTATTTAACACATTCCCTTGCGAGAGGTTAATGTATTGTAACCAGGGTGGGCTCTAAGAGGAACAACTGGCACCATCGAGTACAGTGAGTTTGATTCAAAGTCTGGAAAGACCATGAAGGAAATGGTTCAGAAACCACACACAGAAACCCAGCCTGCCAAAGAACTGCCAGGTCAATATTAGAGCTGAGTTGTCACACAAGTTTATGTTAAACTGAAGATAGTTTCAGAGGATAGCTGTGTCGGTCTGCAGTAGAACAGCTAGATTTGAGTTCAGTAACACCTCAGCGACGAACGTTTTTTGGATATGAGCTCTTGAGAGTCAAAGCGCCCTTCGTCAGACAGGGACCTCATTGACAAAGGGAGCTTTCACCCTTGAAAGCTTATACCCCTAAAAATCCCGTTGATCTCTTGGCCTCGAATCTAGCTGTCACACTGAAGGCATAGACCAGAAATTGCTATATGGGAAAGGGTATTTCTTGTATCTGATTGCAGAACAACAGTGACTCCTGACAAGTACAACAAGTCCTTGGGACCTGAAGCTCTTCACTGCTTGAAAGCATATCTTTGGAGCTGTTAACCACTGGAATCTGTCCACTACTCATCTGCACCCAAGGACCCATCGTCCACACTCTCAACCTCTGACTTGAAAGATATCAAACATTGAGGGGACTTAATCAAATCCATGCAGCGCATGAACAGAAACAGTTAAAAGTGTACTGAGTTTATGCATCAAACCATATCCTACCACAGTATGATTGCCAGTATGACTGTGCATGTGGGGGGAAATTATATCATTCTGTTCTGGCTGATTCAGGTATTCTATGAGACCATGGTTTATTTAAACTAACTATGGGCTGACTGCCCAAACTCCACTAACTATGGACTAGCCATTCAACCAGGATCTGAAATCGTGGTTTGAGGTTGGATTATTAATCACAGTTAGTTTCGTATGACATATGAATGAAGACTTCTTAACTTGTTCCCCTGCACTGCCCTCACTGTCATGGGGGCCGGGATGCTGCCCAAGTCCCTGTGGGGAATTCAGATTCAAAGAATGATGAAACCAGCACTTGTCAAAGCAAACTAGAATTTTAATAAAAACCTAGTCTGGTAGTACCTTAAAGATAAAAAATATTCCCCAGTTCATAAACTGGATTCAAGTGATCACCTGCAAGCCAAACCCTGATTTCAGTTAAAATAAATCATGGCTTTGTGTTATGTTTGTGTTATGAACTGAGCCATTGAGAACACAATCTTATGACTTTATCTTTATCTTTATCTACTCATAAGTAAGTCCCATTTTATTCAGTGGGGCTTACTCCCTGGAAAGTGTTCTTAGGATTGCAGCCTGATTTTGTGGAATAAGGCTGAAGAGGATCTTTGATATTTTATCCTCTGGGATTCTGCTGGAAAGTAAGATTTCACTTTTGAATATTGTCTATGGATGTTTCTTATGGGGGGAAAGGCAATAAAAAAGCACAAATGAAAAAAAAAAGTCAAATTCTCCAGATTTATCTCATCATTAATTTTTGTACGTAGCATAATATTGCTGATTCCAGTGGCTACAATCCACATGCATGTATTTTTGCTTATGTTCTGCTGAAGTGAAAAGGACTTAAGCAAACCTCACTGTATGCTGGATGGTAGCCATTGTTATTTTAGTATATTATTTTATCATGCTGTTTCATCATGTCTGTGAAGTGCTTTTTCAAAACCTGTATTTTATAAAGGCACTACACACTTGTAACCTAAAACATGATTATACCATGACTGTCAATACAATAAGTTTCAGCAGATACCAGTTTACCTCATACACCATAGCTGTCCCATTCAATGTATACAGACATACAATAAGAAAGAGAGAAGTTGAGAGCCAGCTATTCATTGTGACATTTAATTTAATGTAATTCTAAAATACACTCAAGAGCCCTGGCATGAATTGTTTATGCTTTATTTTTTTAATTATGAAGATGACTAGCTCAATACATACATTTTTAACAAAGCAACACAGAAACAGATGTAACCACTTAACATTAATCTAATATATTCACTCAAAACCCACTTACATCTGGCCTATCTGTCCACATCGCCATCTGTGTACTTCTCAATTTCAACTTCCAAAAATGGCAACCCAACATAATAAAATGTGTTTATTGTTATGTTCGCTCTTCTTTTTCATTGCTATGACTTTCATTGCTATGACTTTATCTGTAAACTACGGTAGCTGAAAGAGTTTGTCTTTCTGCAACGAGCAATTTGCTCACCTCTAGTGCCATTGTGGTATATGTGGTATTGGCAATTTAGCCTACATGAGCACAAAATCTCTTTCTCTGAAAGTTTTCTTCTAAAACATTTTAAATACGCCAGGTAGGCTTCAATCTTGTTCAGACTGCAGGTACTGGGGGGGGGGGATTTGAAAAAGAGTAGTGTGTGTCAGTGTAAAATGGCTGTCATGGGAGACAGGGCCCGTTCCAACTACTGGGAGGTCCCAAGCCAGGTATTCCCCTATGATGGGGAGAAGCAACTTCCAAATGCGTGCCTCCTGCAGACCCAAAGGTGACGCCTACTGAGGCCTTCTGAAGCACCTCCTGCTCTAATGAGATGGAAGAAAAACTGGACGATTTTTTTCTTGATGAAGAACAGTTTTGAAGAAGATGCAAGTGAGTGCCAGGAAAGACATCAGTGGACAATGCATGGGGAACTACCTAGCTATGAGACAGTGTCCTGTGATATCACTGCAGAACAGGATTAGGACTATCGGGCATTCACTATCCCTAAAATTTGTCGAACACATACTTCACCTTCTCTGCACTGACCCAGATTTGGATTTACCAGTTGAGGACTGTGTTCTTCATACCTTCACCTGAGTTTTCAGCAATTGTGTTGTAAAAGGGATAAAATTATCAAATAATCAATTCACCGGTCTTCTGCTGCAGCTCATTACTGACTATCAGTGCAATCCAACACAGAGTTACTCAGGTTTAAGCCCATTTAAGTGCAATCCAATACAGAGTTACTCAGAGTTACTCAGGTTTAAGCCCATTAATTTCAACTGGAGCAACTCTCCATAACACTGCACTGTACATAACTCAATAAAATCAATCCAGTTTCTGTTCACATTGTCAGGTTTACTCCTGATAAATGTATGTGTCACTGTTGATATTTGCACTTAACGATAATTATCCCTTAATCTTTACTACTCTAATTTGGCACTGTGACCAGGTATGATAAACCCAGGCTCGATTTCCCACTTGACTAGGGCTAAGTCAAACTTACCTCACAAGTTGCTGCAAATACTCTAAATGCTATTTAGGAAATATGCTGAAGAAATGCCTTATAAAAGAATTATAACTGTAGTCACAATGGAAGTAACAGACAGTGGTCACTTATGAGGATTTCTCACTTTATAAATGAGGGTCAAACCAGATGAGATCTGTCCGTTATTTATATGGAAATTACTGCAGGGGGAGATTTAAGACTACAGCCCATAGAAATAAAGGATTTACTCGCATAGTTAACCAATAGAAATCAGAGACTCGCATCAAACTGCAAGCTGTCACTCAAAAATGAGCTGCAACTCTCACAGATGGGTTACAAGAACAGGGAGAGGTGGGATTCCTGAACTGAAGGAGCAGACTCAGGGCCTTCTCTCTCCCAGAGGTGGGAAAAGGAGAAGAGATGAAAGAAACATCTTCCTTTCTCACAATACGAGAACTCGCGGGCACTCAATGAAATTGCTGAGCAGTCAGGTTATAACGGATAAAAGGAAATACTTCTTCACCCAAAGAGTGATTAACACATGGAATTCACTGCCACAGGAGGTGGTGGCAGCTACAAGCATGGACAGCTTCAAGAGGGACCTGGATAAACATCTGGAGCAAGTTATGCACTGTATTCTTGGTGCTTGGGGGGGGGGACAACAGTGGGAGGGCTTCTAGTGTCCTGGCCCCACTGCTGGACCTCCTGATGGCACCTGGTATTTCTGGCCACTGTGTGACAGAGCGTTGGACTGGATGGGCCATTGGCCTGATCCAACATTGGCTTCTCTTATGTTTGTATGTTCTTAGTCCTTCACCCTGCACATTGTCATTACCAGGGATTTAGTTCATTTCCAGCCTCCAGCATCATGGAAGTATGCTCCCATCTGATGGGAGGGGGGAGAAAGCAAACAAGGGGTAAATGTAGTTTTCCAAATTCGGTTAGAAATCTTTTCTTTGTTTTTATTTTCTTTCTTAGAATCAGCCCCCTCATATCTACAGCCTCATTTCTAGAAATGTTGATAGCTGAATAAAGCTTTGTATTGTTTAAGGGACAGACTACCTCAATTCCTACCTGTGAGCTTTGCTGTGTCCACATTACCAAACAGCACTGTTTGATGGTCTTCCTGGCATTAAACCAGCGAGGGGCATGCTCTGGAAGGTGGTGGTGGTGGCTACTGAAGGACAAGCCCCCCAAAGCTCTTAGGAGAGATGGGGAACCATGAGGGATCCCCAGAGGAAGGCTGGGTTTCCCTATGACAAAACCAGGCCCCCACCTTCTGGACAGGTGCCTTGATAACTCGCTTGCTGGCTAATTGCTTAAGCAGAGAGAGAGAGAGAGGGAGAAAGACCTGAGAGACGCCTGGGGAGGGAAGGTTTACTGGTCCTGCCTCAAAAAGTTTGATACTCACTACCTTATGGACTGTTTAAGCCTTGTAAATAAAAAGACAGGCAAAGAGAGAATGGCTGTCTTTTTTCCCCCTTTTAGAATTAGCAGCAACTCAAGGAAGGTTGGTTTTGATTGGCATAATTGCACAGGGGAAGGG